CCCACTTTTGGGGGAAAAACTTCAGAATTTGTATTGACCGCCGTTCAACTGACAGCATTGTTTCCCCCCAAAAGTGGGCGGAGCTGTTATTTTTGCCCGGAAGTGACGCATTTGTTACTCTCATCTATACCGTTGGGCTGGAAAGCAAACCATACTGGAACAAGAAAGCGGCGGAGAAGTAACGGGGCAGAAACCCTCCTTTTTACGCAGCGGTCCAGACATAGACATCAAACGGCAAAACATATTCAGTGTGCAGTTCCTTTGGCATTAGGGCAGGGATATCTAGATACTTCCGAAGGTTTGACATAATGAATTGTGCTACTTTTAAAGCAAGCAACGCATAGGCGGATTTTTCGGGGGGGCAGGGGGGGCATTGCCCCCCCCTAGTGGCTGAAATATGTTACTGCATTACTATGTCGAAAACTGTACCCAATATTAATATATCAATATTTTAATAAGGTAGTTCACTGGTTAATAATATTGTAGCGTGTTCAAGTAACCAAGGGATATAGTAGTTATCACATAAGTATAAGATGTGCACAGTTATGATACGTTGTACAGTTATGTAATGCACTGACGAGTTGTGTTCATATGTGGAAAAGTCATACTCAGTGCGGTGAGCGCTGGCTTTATTGCTACTGTATCCATAGCACCCCACGCAATAGTTGCCCGTAAAAAAGGTTTGCCCCCCCAAGCGCAAATGTCAAACTCCGCCTATGAAGCAACGATGTTTTCAAATCTGTAATCAAAGAGTTCCGCAAAAACGCTATCGACCAATCAGATTGCTTGATTTGACTTGTCAGTTTTATAAATATATATTTAAATTTCTTCTGTTACGAAACAAACTTACAAAGCATAAGATGGAAACATTTAAGATTAACTTCGACCTCCGGGGGGGTCTTACTATAGTCTGGAGGAGTGGATTGAGCAGTGCCTATCTCCAGAAAAAAAAGCACCTAAACTACGACATGCAGAGCTACGTGAAGAGCAGGTAGACCAAGTGGAAAAGTACCACCATTCAAAAGCTTTCTGATGCGGGTCTTGAAACAAAGCAGAGAAATTATGACCGTTAGTGGCCACATATGCGAAAGCTCTCTCCAGAGCTACTGGAAGCCGAATCTCGGGGACCGGAGAAAGTGGAGCAATAATCTCGCCACGCCAAGCAACAGCCTAGAACAACCTCAACCTATACAAGTGACCACGTAAACCATGCTACTGATGCTGGACAGTTTTTCAGTGGATGCACAATAAACAGAAACATACACATTAATGTAAATAAACAGCTCCGCTTCGCGTCGGGCCGAACCACGCCCCTTAGCTGTGATATAATGAGCATATACCACGGCCTGTCGTGAGCTATTGCTTGAATATATAGTCTGCGGTCAACTCAACCATTACATGTCTAAAAAAAAAAAAGGTGAGAACATATAAACCGTTGCATTCTTCACTAGAATATTTTCGTTAATCCCTATTAACCTGAAAACCTGCTACTACTCATCCAGACAAATTAACACATTAAGGACATTTTACTGTCCAACAGTTCTTCTCTGCTCAACCCACAGTCAGACCGTTTGGCTATTTAAAATAACGTTGTAAAACAAATCATTTACAACCTTAAGTGTTAATAAGCTGTGATGAAGACTTGATAGCCCTCACTTAATAATAACCCACACACTAATGTGAGGACACTCGCTTCTTGGGAAATATTGTATATTTTCCTAGTAGGGGGTACAATTACCAAAGCTTCTCAGCTATAATAAGACCACCACAACCTTTCAGATTCAGCTCTCACCAAGTGATTGCAATGACCTATACTTTGAAATAGAGCCATTCCCAGAGGTAGACACACAAACTGAAATGCAAACACAGTCTAATAATAAAATGGAACAACGTAGTTTGGGAAGAAAAGTCACTGTTGGTGCCAGAAATATAGGAGATAGAGAACCAATACACACAAGCTCCCTCTCTAGCTTATATTTAGCCATGCTGCTGGCACCCGCCTCACTTACCCTCACTGCTCTTAATTGGGTAAAAGAATGTTTATACTTAGGAATTGATGTGGCGGAAGAGCATGGGTGCAAACAGATGCAATGGGAAAAGCACAAGTTGCATGAAATTCATATCTGTGTGCTCAAACCGGGAAGCTAGCTAAATGTGGCAATAAAATCACAAAAACCATGATGCATTATGGGAGAAAGAGACCAAAACACTTTGGATGGCAGCCATGCAACCAGAATGGAGGAGGTGTGAATAAGGACAGGGCCAAGCAAGACATTGAGTCTTCAAAATGTGTTAAGATAGGGGGAAAAGTTTGAATAGCAAAAATAAGTATAGTGAGTTTTAGAGCGAAGCAAGAAACAAGGTATAAGTAGAAAAAAAAGGGTTAGTTGAAAGAATGTAAACAGTGAAGGGGCCGAAGCAGGAATCATGAGGTGGAGACCAGTGTCAAACTTTTGTGGATTAATACATTGGGAAGTGCGTTTTAGCAAGTGAGGCTTGCTGTGGGTTATTGATGAGATGGCTGCAGCGAAAGTTAACAGGGAGTGGAGCTTTCATGCTAGTGCTAGTGTTCTCTGTTCAAGCCGTGACTCACACTAGCAGGCTACACAGATATTTGCCTTCTAAGGGCATCAGCTCGAGGCCCTGGGATGCCGAGGATGCTCGACGGCTGAGCTCTGGTGACGCCGCCTCTTCTTTAGCAGAGTGTGGGTGGTCGTCATCCTGAGGAGGCGATACCACCACTTCGGGGATGCCATGAGGGCCAAGGCCTGCGCCCTGGGTTTTGGAGGAGTGCCGGGGAGCAACGGGGGTATTTTGAGGGGTGGTGAGGAACGGGCTGCCTGGGGCGTGCCCAGTGTTGGAGGAAGAGGAAGGTAGGAGATGGTTGAGCAGGATGGAGACTCTGGACTCTTGTCTCTGGGAGAGGTTGGAGACAGAGGAGGCTGTCCCTGCCTTGTGGAGAGAGAGACGTGAAGAGGACAGGCCCTCTCCTAACAGAGGAGACAATGGCAAAAGGGAGAGAGAAAAGGAGGGAAAAGGAATAAGGGATGGAGCAGAGGAATACACATATGAAGTAGGAGTACATCACAAAGGTGGTATCTGGAGGAGACACAGCTAGAAGGGGTGGGCAGCAAGAGCGTGGCAGGAGTGTTGTTAGAGGGAACCGTGCTTGCATAAACATGAGCGAAAAGCATGGTAGTGTGCAGAAGACACTAAGAATGATTCAGTGAGGCGTGTAGGAGGTTCTGCAAGGGGCCAACACAAATTGTATCATTCAATTCCAAACAAACCAAATCGTACAACATGTCAGAGGTCAACCTCGAAAGGGTTCAGATGCATGCACGAGAGGATGAGTTAGCACGATGTCAGTGCACTGTGAGCAGACGTGTGCTCTACCACAACAGACCAGTCATAATTCCTACAGAGTGCATACGCATTTGGCACAAAACATACATCTTGCCAACTACAACCATTACCATCAATGTGAGATTTATTCATTTGACCTTTCACGTTTAAGGTTTAATGATATTAAAATGCAAGCCCCACAAGAACCACAGGCAAAGAAGTGGAGAATGGGATATTTATTTCATTCTTTAATCCTCCGGCTGGCACCCAACACCATACATTAACACCACTGCAGCCATGCCCACTCAAAAAACACACAATGCTGACTCCAGTTGCAGTTTAGTGTCACCCTATGGAGTAAAAACAATCATTATTTAAATCACCGCGAGCCAGGCCAGCCATACAAGTTAGCAGAGTCAGTAGCACCCGAATTTCTCTTTCACTATTGGGGCCGACTCCTTCTCTTGATTTTACTCACTTTTACCATCCACCTTCTACGACGGCATTGTGGGATTTGAACAGGGGATTTTTAAGCAACAGTTCCCCAGAGGTGGAATACAGAGGAAAAAGAAATGCGAGTGCGTCGCAGGATCTCACCGTTTCTTTCAAGCAAGAGTGGGTCAGAATGTTTCTTGCCTATGTCAGCAATGGAGCGGACTAGAGGGATGCGATTGCTAAGTTTTCTGTCATTCTGGTGGTGGTGTTTCTTCAGCATGGCTTCCCGCACCTTGTGGCGCAAATCCTCCTTCAGCTGGCCCGACGCCACCATGCTGTCTATCAGCATGTCTGATTTGTAAAAAAGCAGGGGGGAAAAAACACAGTAAGGAAAATTAATTTAATATGGAGATTAAAAATAAATTTACCCGAGTATAAATTTGGTTTTATTTTTCAGAATTTAAATCATGAGAAAAAATTACCTGCAATTTCTTCAATACTGTTGGCCCTCATATCGAGCATGACCGTGCCGTTGAGTATGCAGCTACGCAGTTCAAATAAGCTGTGTAGTGACAACGTAGCCACATAGGGCTTACTCCACCTCTCCCCACCATCTTCCACATCTTCTTCAAATTTCAACCACCTGTGGATAAACAACACAAACACACAGAGAAAGAAGATATTAACTTAAAGTTGAATCAGGGTCAGTGTTTCCAGTGTTATTTTATGAATGCTACAAACCTATTTCACATTACACTATGAAACAGATGCATCAAATATCATGAAAACTGTTATTTGTTCAAAAAGTCAGTATAGAGTTCCGTATTGCTTTCACTCCATGAGGTTGTCATTATGCTGGTCCTTCAGTTGCTTTCTAACCTGGCAGTTTCCTTCCACTCAGTGGATCTGCCGTCTCTGAAGGAGAGCTCGTCCAGCTCAGTGAAGAGGTCATGTGGGACGTGCTCGAGGTCATCGTCCTCTGCTCCTAGGATGAACTGAACCCGCTGGGATGGTGTGTCTGTACAGAGAGTAGTCAAAGGCCAAAGTACATATTTACAATCATTACAACAATAAAAGTATATTTCTCAAGGCATTATGGGCTATTAAAAGAACCCTGTGGAGTTTGACCTCTAATAGTATGTTTGTTTACACATGCACCTGCACATAGATGATGTGATACGCAGTCCTGCCAACGCTTTTTCACTGATCTACAGGTGGCTGTAATTTGCCAAAAAGGCAATGGATTTTTGAAAAAAGCTAGTAAGCAAAGCATCCAGATGTTATACTTTGGAAATGTTTTATGAGGAAAAGGCATGTCTTCTTGTTAGTTAGACCTCAAGGATAGACATTTAGTTGAATGTGGAATGCAACCTATTTTTTTTAACCGTTTATAATAAAACTCCACAGGGGAACCCTTAAGTGACTGTCTTAACCGTAGAGGGGGAGATTAAATCGGCCCATAATAAAAGGTTTCAAGGCTTTTATTTGTCATACGTGCATAGCTACAGTGTAGTTATGATGATGAAAATCTTAGGTCACAGGAGACGGTAGTATGATCAAACGGAATTCTTTAGGTCCTCCTGAGAAAGTATGGCTGTGTGTTTGGCCATTACCACTGCACTAATGCTTTCTGAAGGTGGAGAGGATAATCTTTGTGGGAGTGTACAGAGAGACCAGTAGATAACTAACTGCTTTTCATTACTACATAAGAAGGAATACATCTGCAGGCAAAAGAGCATCGTGAAAACCTGAAAGCATTACAGACATTTTCTTTTCATGCCGTATTGAATTAGAGGGCAGATATCAGGACATCTCGAACTACAGAGAGAACGGAAATAGACATGGCAGATTACAAGACTAAGCGCCACAGGGAGGCAGAAACCGAATGAATGGAGGCAAAAGGGGAGTTCTTTCTGTCCACACATGGGTGCGGTGTGTGGTGATCTGGTGTGTATAATGCACATGCGAGTACATACATTGATGCTGTTGGTGCTTACCGACAGCAACTAAACCTAAACACGTATAACCGTCTCATAGATTGAGATGCTGTGTGCCCCCAGTCAGTGCTCAACATGATAACCGGACCAATGCAGGTCTTGTTGGTGTCGTCGTAAGGACTTGATAACACCTCGAAGAGTTCAAAGCATTGTTTGACTGCCTATAAGTCTTGCAGTTGAGGTGACGCAGCAAATTCTCACATAGCGCACGCAGCACTCTCTTAAAATGTCATAGCCTTCAATCAGTGTCGGAGGCTATTTACCGGTGGCCTTTAAAGCCTTTTAGAGCTGAATGTTTATTCAGAACTGTTTGAAAGAGGGAGACGCATAAGGCTTAAGCAGAGAGGTAATATAACCTGGTAATCTGTATATTTAAAAAAAAAAAATTAATTCAAAATTAACATCACACATGATTCCCTAAACCAGTGGTTCTCAACTGGTTGGTCGCAGACCCGTTTCGAGTGTGTCGCAGATCTTCTTTTTTTGGGAAAAAAGTCAAACTTTTATTTTTAAGGCCCGATTTTCTAACGCTGTGCATGCAGTAGGCGTTGGAATTAAAGTACCGGAGACCATACACGGTCTTGAAAACTTCTGTCACATAGTGATCATCTTCTCAATAAAACATCTTTGCTGATGTTTTTTCGAGCCTTCTGGCCAATCAGAATCAAGGTTGTTGCCGGAGGTCCCCACGGAGAACTTCAGATAAAAATGAACACATAATGAAATATGACCCCCGGTTTGATGATTGACAGGTCACAGAACAATGGGAGCTATCTACCCTTACCCACAATTTAAAGTAAGTCACACAGGCTATCTCCTCTTTACTCTTCTCGCAGTGTGGAGCAGCAAGTTCAGCTGTCAGAACAAAGTGAAAAACAAACAATGGCATAAAATATTATTAATATGTCGGATAGAAAAAGATGAATTTATTTTCCTCTCAGAGTGTACCAGAATGCGTAGTTTATATGTTAGTATTTCTAAAAATCTCCTGGGGGAGAATCCCCCCCAGACCCCCCTGCTGGGGTTGGGTTTTCAGCATGTGGGCCTTTTTATGTTATACAGTTCAGCTTTGATTTCATCATCTCATTAAA